AGGGTCTCACTCTGTCACCCATAGGAGTGGAGTACAATGCAGTGATGCCATCATAGCTCACTGCAACCTCGACCTTCCACCTCAGCCTCCCAGGTAGCTGGGATCACAGGCATATGCTGCATACCTGGGTAATTTTTTAATTTTTTTGTAGAGACGGAGTCTCTCTGTGTTACTCAGGCTAGTCTTAAACTCCTGGCTCAAGTGATCCGCCCACCTTGGCCTCCCAAATTGTTGGAATTACAGTATGAGCCACTGTGCCCAGCCTTATATGTAGGCTTTTATAACAAAATTAGCTCGTAGGTTGGAAATTGTGTCATTTCTCCCCAGTTTACATACTTATTCAACTTTTGTTCATGTTCTTGAATATTTCTAATGAGAAATAGTGTTAATGGCTACCACACTGCCGACGTTAGACAGTGCCTATAAAATTAGCTGAAGAAGGGAAAACGAAGATTGTTTCACTAGATTCTTACTGAAGGTCTGGTGGTTACAATAAGTGCAACTTGTCCATAAACGCTACAAGATGCTGTCTTTTCGTTACCTTCTCCTGCCTTTTAAAAAGGCTCCCAGTATTTCACTGATGAAGGCCCTTATGTTGTAATGTATAAGTGAGTCCTCTCCAAGTGTAACTCAGACCTTCAGATAATGTGTCGTACCTCTGGATGTTTGCCTACTGCTCTCACCTCAGGGACTTGAAGTTGCGTATTTTCAGTGAAATGAAATTGATGCCTTGAACCGAGAAACTTGATCCTCTTGTTTAAGAGCATTGGATGCTACATTTTCTGAAAGCAAATTGGTTTCAAATAAAAATTTGTTTCAAGTTTAGTGCATTTGTCAGAAAAATATGTCGTTTGCAGTTAATGATACTATAGCTATTCATTGAGTTGATCCATAAAAGTAGCTGAGATTTACAGAAATATTTTTGACTTTATGCTTCCTAAATGGGAGTTTACATTCTGTCAGTTGATATAGAAATGTTTTGAGAGATGTGGGCAGAGAAAAAGAAGAGATGAAGATACTGGTTTAAAGCTGAAATAGGAAATGAATGTATTACTGTGCTAGGGCTGCCGTAACAAAATACCACAGACTGGGTGGTTTAAACAACAGAAATTCATTTTCTCACATTTCTGGAGGGGCGAAAGTCCAAGATCAAGATGCAGGCCGGGTTAGTTCCTTCTGAGGTGTCTCTCCTTTGCTTGCAGATGACCGTCTTCTTCCTGTGTCTTCATATGGTTTTTCCTTAGTGTGTCTACTTATGTGTCCAAATTTCCTCTTATAAATATACCAGATTGAGTTAAGACCCACCTCAGTATCTCATTTTAATGCAGTTACTTTTTTAAAGGCCTTATCTCCAAATAGTCACATTCTGAGGTACTTGAGGTTAGGGCTTAAACATGCAAATTTTAGAGGGACACATTTCAACCCATAATAATACAATATTTGAAATTTGTTCAGCTATTGTTTAAAATAAATATGAGAGGACTTCAAAAAGTTAATGGAAAATGGAATTAAAAGATAAAAAATACAAACTTTATTTCTCAATGTAAGCTCCATCAAGTTCAAGACACTTTTGTAAGCCATGATACTGGTTGTTAGTTCATCCCTAAAGAACTGAGGGTCCTGGGAATGTACCCATGTCATTGTAGTCTTTTTTACATTATTACCTGAAGAAACACTGGTGCTCTTTAAAAGCTTTCTTAAGTTTAGGGAAAAAAATAAGTGAGAAGGAGCCACACCAGGACTGTAAGGTGGATGCCTAATGACTTCCCATCAAAGCTCTCATGCATTGACACAGATGAATGTCAGAGTAATCTTGCCAGGTGAAAGAAACCAAAGAGTACATACTGTGTGATCTATTTGCATAAAACGCTTAAAAATACAAGCCAAGGCCGGGCGCAGTGGCTCAAGCCTGTAATCCCAGCACTTTGGGAGGCTGAGGCGGGTGGATCACGAGGTCAACAGATCGAGACCATCCTGGTCAACATGGTGAAACCCTGTCTCTACTAAAAATACAAAAAATGTTTAGCTGGGCATGGTGGTTCGTGCCTGTAATCCCAGCTACTCAGGAGGCTGAGGCAGGAGAATTGCCTGAACTCAGGAGGCGGAGGTTGCGGTGAGCCAAGATCGCGCCATTGCACTCCAGCCTGGGTAAGAAGAGCAAAACTCCATCTCAAAAAAAAAAAAATACAACCCAGTCAGTCATGGCATGTCAGTCATGGCTTGCAGGGCGTGGGAGAGAGGCTGGAATTACACAGGGGTACAGGAAGACGTTTGAAGTGGTAGATGTTTTCACTGTCTTGATTTTGGTGACAGTTTCATGGGTATAAACAAAGGTCAAAATGTATCAATTATTTTTTCTTTTTGAGAGGGTTTTACTCTTTCGCCCAGCAGTGGCATAATCTTGGCTCACTGCAACCTCTGCCTTCTGGGCTGAAGCGATCCTTCCACCTCAGCCTCCCAAGTAGCTGGGACTACAGGTGCACACTGCCACACCCAGCCCAAATTGTATATTCTTAATGTGTGCAGTTTAGTGTATGTTAATTATGCATCAATAAACTTTTTTTTTTTTTTAAGTCCTTGCCCTCTTGGAACTTAAATTTTACTGGTGATGACATGTAATGACAGTAATAAACAAATATATGTGTATTGTATGTGTGTATGTATGCATGCCTGTGTATCAGATGTCACAAAATCTTGAAGAAAAAGCAGTGTGAAGATAGAAAGTGATGGAGAGAATAGCTGTTTACTACAAGAAAGCAGTCGGGAAAGTCCTCGGTCCACATGGCATTTGAAACAGACTGTTTTAAGCTCCCCTGTAGTCTTTTGAAAACTGTGTTAAGGTAGGTTTCAGTTTGTTAAAGTTACAAGGTGATCATTCTCTCATCTAAAAGGACAAGTTTCCCCTAACTTGAAGGCAAATTTAAATTTTTGACATCACAAAGAACCAGATGAAAAGGTGGGGCAGAAGTAAGCAAAACCTACTCCTGGTGCCTAAGAGAAGCCCATTTCAGCCACAGGAATTTCTTGTGGTTCACTTGATTGGAAAGATAAAGACCTATTTTGTGAACATCTGTAGAAAAGTGAATCAGAAAGAAAAACTCACCCAGAATTTCAGTCTTCCAGTTTCCTGCCAGACCGGGGCAGTTACCCCCTCGTTTTCTGAAAGACAACAAAAACAAAAACAGAGCCAACGCTGCTCCAGCCTATGTCGCCTCTGGTGTTCCCTGTGTGTGTGCGTGTGTGTGTGCTGCTGGTGAAGAGAATGCACTTATCCTGAGAAGCAGAGGGGAGGATTTCTAACAGTGGCATGACCTGCTTGCTTGTGTCCCGGGATCCTAGCAGAGCAGCTAGAAACCTGGGATGGCACCATGGCAGGTTTCTCCTTGCCACTGGCAGAGGAGCCGGTTTCAAGTCAGGGATCAGTAGCTATTACCAGCTGATCAGTGGAACCTAGACTTGGTTCATCCCCAAAAGGTTGCCTGCTAATCGTGAAGACATTAGAATAGCTGTGCTGGGGCCACAGGGAATTCTAAAGAGAAAAGAGATTTGTAGCTTGTACCATAAACTGAAATGTGGTTCTTTGTTTTGAAAACCTGCTTTTAACTCTGCTCGTTCCCCGATTCTTAAAAATATAGTTCTGTCTAGAGACTAACTTAAAGATTTTGCCTTATTATTTAATATAAATTTGGTGTCAGAAAAAGTGGGAAAATGCACTGATCTCAAGCCAATTGTGTATTTCTGTTTCTGTAAAATTTTTATAAAACATGCTGATTTTTGTCATTCTGTTTGCCATTTTCTTATCCCCGTGAGGATTGTATTCTAAAGCAGCATCCCCCGTTGTGAATGATACTTTGCAGAGCATGTACTCTGACTCTGCTCTGGGATTGAACATTCTGGGCTAGAAGGAAACCTGTGGGTTCTACCTACCCCTCAAGGCTAGAGCCCTGAGAAGCAGGAGCCCGGTGTTAGCTCCTTTTCCCTCCCAACCAGTGGAGGTTCACCGGGCTCAGGCATCCGAAACCTTCAGTAGCCCAAGCCTTTCCTTCCACCCCCATGCCTGATTCCCGCCCTGTCAGTCCCAGAGGAGTTACTCTTAATCTCTTTTGGGCTGTGGTTCCCTTTGAGGATCTGATGAAAGCTATGGGCAGAATTTTGCGTGGAACTTCAGAGGCCACCAAGAATCCCTTTTCCAGAGCAGGGCAGGCATTGATGCCCATCTCATATCAGCAAATTCTTTGCAAAGTACAAAGTTAGCGTTCTTTACAGAGGGCAGAGGCAGCACTCTTATCTGTAAGCTGATGATAACTGTTTTTTTTTTTTTTTTTTGAGACGGAGTTTCGCTCTTCTTACCCAGGCTGGAGTGCAATGGCGCAATCTCGGCTCACCGCAACCTCCGCCTCCTGGGTTCAGGCAATTCTCCTGCCTCAGCCTCCTGAGTAGCTGGGACTACAGGCACACACCACCGTGCCCAGCTAATTTTTTGTATTTTTAGTAGAGACAGAGTTTCACCATCTTGACCAGGATGGTCTCGATCTGTTGACCTCGTGATCCACCCGCCTCAGCCTCCCAAAGTGCTGGGATTACAGGCTTGAGCCACCGCGCCCGGCCGATAACTGTATTTTTAAGTTGTGTTTTTATTAATAGCCTCTTCAGCTAGCACTAGAAAGAGGTTGCATCGTGTCACAGTGGTCTGCATTGATAGGGTTTTGTGTGTATGTTTGTTATTGGGAATAAAGGACTAGGACAGATTTTTCAGTATCCCTCTCCTTTCCTGCTCTGCGGTTCTCCTGGTCCATTAGATGTGATACAAAACCACCAGTTACCCATCATTTTGTTTAGACTATTGACTGGGAAGCCAAATACGACGTCCACCTTGTGCTGCTACTCATCACTGTAAACTTTTGTCCTGTTCATTTGATTATGTGCTCGCTACCTTTTTCCTAGAAGGAAATTTTCCTGAATTGAAATCAGTTAATAAAACTTTTTCTCTCTTTTTACAGCTTGTACCTCCTTTTAAACCTCAAGTAACATCTGAGACAGATACTAGATATTTTGATGAGGAGTTTACAGCTCAGACTATTACCATAACACCGCCTGAAAAATGTAAGTAAATTTAGAGGGCGATCGATACATTTCTAATGTAATTTCTTCTAATGTGACTGGAGAAAACAGTCTTTTAAAAAATCATCCCACATTTTCAAGATCAAATTCCACAGTGACTTATTCCGTTCCATTTAAGAATATTGAATATTGAATTGAATTTAGGAATATTGAGTTTCCAGTGGAAATACCAAAACACAGGTAGCTGCAAGAAACGCTCTTCTGGGCAAATTAGAGGGAGGGGAGTTGTAGATGCAGTTGCAGACCAGACCTCCCGTACTGTTCTGCACTAGAGTCTTCTGACACCAGCCGAAAGGACTGTGAAATAGAGACTCCCCTCTTTTCCTGAACTGTTACTTCACACATCGCCCTCAGGATTTTGTCAGTTCTGGCCTCCTACTTGCTTAATAGTTTTAAAATCCACTTTAAGTTGAGTCATCCCTTCTTACTTAGCTGTCTCTTAAATAGTAATATCTGTGAAGACATAATTCAGTTTGCTAGTACTTTTGGATACATAGAAATTACACACTTAAGAAAACTGTGTTCATGTACCACCTTAAGTCACTTTATATACATGAGTATGTCTCACACTTTGAGAAATACCATAAATAAAGGGACCTGTAATGAAGGAAAAGGTTATCAGACATAATTTATAAACATTTTCATGCTGACAGAGGTCTGTATCTAATATCAACTTAGGAATGGGGATAAGGTTGAGTTTCGGGTCAGTCTTTGGGTATTCGTCACATACCTTTTGGTTCACATAATAGCACCATGTTAATTTTTCTCTCCTTTTCCATTCCTTCCCTGTATTTCCTCTCCTCTCCTTCCTTTTTAAGAGGCAGATTCATCAATAGTGCTGATGTGGACTCAGCATCCAGGAGAGGGAAGATTGGAGGGAAATGCTGTGCCAAATATGATCACTGGCAACAGATTTTAGTGTTAAAAGGCAAACAAGGAGTCATCTAGGCAAAGAGGCCTTAACTGGCAGCCAGGGAACCGTGAACGTCCTGAAAGTAAAGGTGTGATTATGTATGTGTGCTTTTCTTTCTTTAGATTCACAAGAAGTTAAGGTGCTCGGGGTCCTGTTGCGGCCAGTCATAGCCAGGAGCAGGGTTACGAGCTTGGCTGATGTGTAGGCTAAGTTGTGAAATACTAGTACGTACAAGTGAGCCACTCATGGTCTGTCCTGTGGTAAGGCAGAGTTTCCACCCAGTCTTGCGCCATTGCTAGAATTTTAGTATCACTAAGAGTCACAGACAGTGTTGGAAAGCCTGTGGAGTCGTGGGCAAGTAGCTCAGGGCTTTCTGAGTAGAAATAATGGGCATAGGCCCTTGGCTTCTGTCCCCAGCATGGACTGTGGCATTATAATTTTCCACAGTCCTGGGTAACACCAGTGAATTGCTGGATTGGCCCATGGGCAGTTCCTGCCATTGAGCCTTTGCTAGGCCCTTTCATTTGGATATAATCCTAATTGTAAGCAGGCCATATCATTTCTCTGCTTAAAGCCTTCCCGTGCCGTCCCATTGTACTCTAAGTCCAAAGTTGCTCATATTGGTTTGCCCAGCACTGACTGATCTGGGCCCTGTCAACCTCTCTGACTGCTTCTTTGTTCCCTCTTACCCCACTGTCCCTGGGTTGCAGCCATACCTTCAACATGCCACGTTACCATGCCTCGGGATCTGGGTGTCCCTGCCTAGAATGCTCTTCTCCCCTGAGACTACATGGATGACTCCTCGTTGTTCTTCAGCTTGCATGTCATTCTTTGACCTGGTCTGAAGAACATCAGACAACCCTCCCTCCCACTCTTCATTCACTGCATTGGCACCTTTACTTGCTGGTATTTTTCTGGTTGATTTATTTGTTTAGTGTCTCTTTCCACCATTAGCATGCAGTGGCTCAGAGAGGAGGGATCTGGCTTGTCTTGTTGTTAGCCCAAGCTCCTAGTTAGATGCCTGGCACAGTGTGTGTATTAATAATACTTGTTAGGTGCATGAATACACAGAACATGGTGAATGCCTAGGAACTTAAGAGCCGGGAGTAGACCCAGGCTTGCCTTCCCTCTGAATATCCAAAGCAGACCCTGGGATAGGAAGGCCTGACAGGTCTCTGTCCTCAGTCTCAGCCGCTTTGAGAAAGTTTTCGTTCTTAAATAGAGCATTTGGCATTTGTGTATCTTTAGAGCAACTAAATATGTTATTTTGGAAGTCGTAGAAATAAGTAGGCTCTAAAATGTGGAGCCATGAGTAGATATTTTACTTCAGAAAGCTAAAGGTGAAATCCCAATTTGGGACACAGAGTGAGGTTGAAAAAGCCCAGGACTTGGACCTGGGGAACCTGCCTTGTGTCAGGCTCTGCCCCTTACAGCTTTGGGAGATGGCAGGTCACTCTGTCCTCTCGAAAAGCGGGAAGCAGGGCTGATAACCTCTCGGTGGCCTGTTTTTGTCCTCCCATATGCCTGAGAAGCCGTAAGCCATCTCTTTGGGATGAGCACCGAGAGTTCTGCAAATTTGGATCACCTTATTTTCATTTCTGCTCAAGCACCGGAGTGGCCAGTCCGTAGTGTTACCGTGTGCTGTGGTCCACTCCAATTAGGGGATGATAGACCCAACACAGCAAACACCTGCAGGAGTGGTGTGCGTGCAGGGCAGGCGGACGGGGCTGAAATGCAGGGCTCAGAAGGGTGAGCCTAGAAAGACCAGAGCAAGTCAAAACTGATTTGGTTACAGATCAGGTAAATTAGAAGCTGTTGTATATGCGTCTTAGCTAGTTATTTATTTTTTCATGATTGACGTGAATTTTAAACCCCTAGCTTTCAAGGATCAGAATCTCTTCAGAATTCACCTTACCTGCCTTATTCCCTACTCCACACCCACAGGTCACTTGTCCTGATGAGAATTTGTCATTAGTATGCATTTTATTGCTCAATTTCTAGGACTTCTAAAATGAGACTGAAATGTTAGAAGGTGTTTTACGTCCCCCAGCCCAGTTTGTAGAACATAATTTGAACCTGGTTGCTGGCTTCATTATCAGCAGTATAAAAGCCATCAAGAATGTTTTTCCTGTCATGTCATATTTTGCCACTAATGGCAACTCTGTTCTTAAATAACATGTTGTTTCAGACATGGGTCATGCTGTAAAAGCCCGACAACCTGGGTGTCTTTAAATGATAGTAGGTTCCCTTCTAGATTGAGCCAGAGATACCTGGAAGCCTGCATGTTGTAGTAACTTCCAAGATGGTTATCAAAATCCACCTGCAGTTGTTGCCCATGAAAGTCCGGATTTTGTCCAGGCATGGTAGTGCACACCTGTAATCCCAGCACTTTGGGAGGCCAAGCTGGGTGGATCACTTGCGGTCAGGAGGAATCTGAGACCAGCCTGGCCAATATGGTGAAATCTCATCTCTACAAAAAAATAGAAAAATTAGCCAGGCATGGTAGCGCATGCCTGTAATTCTAGCTACTTGAGAGGCTGAGGCTGGAGAATTGCTTGAACCCAGGAGGCGGAAGCTGCAGTGAGCCGAGATCATACCACTGTACTCCAGCCTGGGCAACAGAGTGAGACTCTGTCTTTAAAAAAAAAAAAAATCTGGCTTTTGTGGGGTGTGGTTCTGCCCTGCTCCTGGGCCCTGGGCGGTATGGAAATGAGAGCCCAGGAGTGTCATCTGGGCACACCACAGTTGGGGAGGGGAGGACACTGTGGACTTCCTGTGTTTTTCCCTATTCAGGACCTCTCTAGAAAGGAAAGTCAGAGTAAAGAGCACAGCAGAGTGTGCCCAGGCAAAGACTAGCATGGACGCATCTGCAGGCACCTCTGTTCAGCAGCCTCTCTTGCTGTCTGTGTAGCTCAGCTCAGCTCAGCTCAGCTCAGCGCTTAGCACTGGGGACCACCTGGCCCTGGGCTTCCTGTCTTAGGGGAACCGCCTTGATGGTGGTTAACTGCCGCTTCTGGGTTCTTCTAGGGCAAAGGGGCAATATTTTTAGTTTGGCAGTTCCGGATACATTCTAAATTCCCTTACGGGGCAGATAAAAGGAGAATCAGGGCAACTTTGAGCTGTGATTCCATTTAACATAACCTTTTTCTTGCAGCTTTGGATAGTTTAACTGGTGAGAAACCATTGCAGCTCCCTAAAGGCTAACACATAGAGGTTTTCTTGATAAAAGTCCAGAGCAGTACCGCTCGTTAGCAATTGTCTTCCCACTTGCCACCTTGCTTGTATAAAACAGGATACAGTTACTGTTTAGAACAAATCATCAGTTAGAAAGGCAAAATGTTCCATTTTCTACAAACAGCTGCAGTAACATGCCAGATTGTCCTCACTGGTGTTAATTAGTTGAACAGATTTCGGAATGTATCATCTTTCGTTATAGCCATTCATGGTCCTCTGCCTTCCTCTTACAGAAAAAGGGTTTCTTTGAGATCTGGTCACTTTTACTGCCATATAATGACATTTGTTAAATGTTCTAAGAAAATCAAGCAACTGATGTTCCTTGGATCCAGGAATTCAAGAGATGTAGCGTGTAGAGCTGATCATTGTCTTCTTTTTCCAGATGCGTGTTTTTGGGAGACATAGTTCATGTGCATTATCATCACTGTTTCCTATGGACAGTCTCTCATGGCAGGAACTAGCTTGTATGCGTTGACAGGCTCCGACTCAGTCAGCTGCCCTTCCTCCGGCCCCCTCCCACCGCAGCCCCTGCCCAGGCTCTCAGCTCTTGTTGGGCCATGATCAGAGATGTTCATGCCCCACTGTTACCAAGCCTGACAACAGAAGGGGGCTGGGATAATGGAGTGAGATCATCAGCTTTAAAGAATATCAAGGATTGGGGTCCTCAGGGTTATCTGTGAAATTTCCTATATTCAGAATTGTGATGAATGTGTTGCTGAAGTGACAGAGTGAATGTTCTCCCTTAATTCTTAGCTGACACCCAGCAAGAGTCCCTCCTCCTCCAAAAGGGTGTCCAGCACCTGCCCCTGTTGACTGTGTGGCTAACCTGGGTGCTGAACCTCGCCAGGCTGGAGTGAGTCCTGCTGTGCAGAAACACTAGCAAAATAAGGCTGTTGGTGAGGAAAACTGTTTATTTGAAATGTGATTGGCACATGTCAGAATCTGAACATTAAGGTTTTAGCTGCCTGTATTCTCTAGAGAGTTTTTATACTGTGTGGCTCAACTGCAGATATGCCACCATTCCCAGCTCCTCCTGTTTTTGCTGTAGCTAAAAATACTGCTGAAGGTATTTTATATAAAAGATGTATGTGGCTTGCTTGGTACAAATACTGGAACCAATAACTTTATAAGGGGGTGGAGGTTTCCCCAAACCTTAATAACTTCTAGAAATCCTGACTGCAGTTACAATGGTCTGCTTGCAGAAGGAGAGAGGGCCTCTGAGTTCAGTGTGTTACACAGAGCAGGGAGCCACAAATACATCTTCATGGGTCGGTTCTCACCTAATTACAAGGATATCTGCTGGTACATTAGAGGTCATAAATTTTGGCTAATGCCAGCTTGATTACATTTCTTAGATTCTTTTGCATTAAGAATGGGATACAGAAAAGAAAAACAGTGAGACACAAACAGAAGGGTTTATTCTTCAGATGAAGGCAAAGCGTCCTCCTGTTTGGGGTGACGGGATCAGAGCCTCAGTGCAGTGGGATCTGGCCTGTAGGTTTTCTTTGTTTGCATTCATTTCCGGTTGATGCTCCCTAGAGAGGTTAGAAAGGCAAAAAAATTGGTAATGTACTTCCTAGGTGGGTTTGAGGAAACTGAATGAAGAGAAAAAGGTTGAGTATTTGAAAGATTCACTTATTTCTATTGCAGGCCAGCATAGAGTAGAGCAGGGGATTTAAAATGGAGCCCCTCCCCAGGAGACCGTGAGTGCAGGGGCCCTTGGGAACTTTGTTGAGAGTTCTGTCTGTTCATGGACCTGACGGGTGCTCAGCCCAGAGCAGATGCCTGGGAGCGCATGTTGACTGAGTGGCTGACCATGCAGCCACATAGAAGAAGAGCCTCCCGACAGTACAGGACTGTCATCATAGGACATTTATAAGAAGAGGGTGCTGATCATCTGTGATCTTTGAAATACAGGAAACCAGGAAAGCTGAGAGGAGGAACACTGTAATTGTAAGCAGCCTGTTTTGATGCCTTTGAAGTCTCTATTCTCTGGTGTTTGCTGATGAGCTAGGACTCAAGATACTGACATCATTCCCTCTGGTTCTTTCACTTAGTCCCTTCATTGTAAAGTTTTATTATAGGGAAATTGGAAGAGGTAAGTTAAGTCTGATGCTAGATGTTGAATAAAATTTTGTAGGAAGCTATATTTTGCAATTTCACTGAAAGTATCACAAAGAAAAAAATACAAGCATTGGAAGACATTTGATGATGGATTCTGTAGACTTTGGATGCTGTAGGTTTAACTGACTTGCAGTTTTGATATATGTGGTTACATGAAGTGCAAGGTTACTGAAGACTGCTCCTCCTTTACAATTTCTGTTTCCTTCAATACCATTTTTTCACTGTTACACTGAGTCTTGAAATTTTGATGTCTTAGAGATGATTCTATAGTGTTATTTCTTCATAGACTGAAAATCAGATGATTTTTAAAGCACAATTACTGTATAGCTTATTGATAAACACAGGTTTATGGGAGCTATTGCCTGTATTCATCTTTCCTATGTTCAGAGTTTAAAAAAATAGACCAGAGATAATGTTGCAAAAAAAACGTGAAATTAAAATAGATGTTTCCTGCCCACAGATGATGAGGATGGTATGGACTGCATGGACAATGAGAGGCGGCCACATTTCCCTCAATTTTCCTACTCTGCAAGTGGACGAGAATAAGTCTCTTTCATTCTGCTACTTCACTGTCATCTTAGATTTATTACTGAAAATGATTCCTGGACATCACCAGTCCTAGCTCTTACAGATAGCAGGGGCACCTTCCGGCATCCCAGACCAGCCAAGGGTCTTCACCCCTCGCCACCTTTCACCCTCATGAAAACATACATATGTGCAAACACACTCCAGTTTTTGTTTTTGCATGAAATTGTATCAGTCTAAGGTCTCATGCTGTTGCTGCTACTGTCTTACTATTAGAGCAACTTTAAGAAGTAATTTTACAACCTTTGGAAGTCATGAGCCCACCATTGTTCATTTGTGCACCAATTGTCATCTTTTAATCTTTTAGTTTTTCCCTCAGTGAAGGCTAAATGAGATACTGATTCTAGGTACATTTTTTAACTTTCTAGAACATAAAAAACTAACTAGACTAAGAAGATTTAGTTTATAAATTCAAAGCAAGCAATTGTTGAAGGGTGGTGACGTGCATATGTAAAGCACATCAGATCCATGTGTGAAGTAGGCATGTATCACTAAGCTGTGGCTGGAATTTATTAGGAAGCATTTGAGAGAAGGACTGAACAACCGTTGGGATATATATATTTTTTTTAATTCCTGGTGGATACTGTAGCAGAAGCCCATATCACACGTGGATGTTGAGACTTCACGGGCAATCGTGAGCAAGTGAACATTATTCTACCGAGAAACGAAGGCATATGCACAGTCAAGGTCACCTAAAGGGTCTTATGATACAGTTTGCGCCAGAGAGCATTTCCCCCTCTGCTCAGAAACCTTTCTTCCTTCTTGACATTTATCACCTCTGATGGCTGAAGAATGTAGACAGGTATAATGATACTGCTTTTCACCAAAACTTGTGCACCAAGGTAAACAGGTGTTTGCCTTATTTAATTTTTTACTTTCAGTTCTACGTGAATTAGCTTTTTCTCAAATGTTAAAACTTTGAATGTCCTTTTATGATTTTGTTTATATTGCAGTAGTATTTATTTTTTAGTGATGAGAAGTGTATGTCATGTTAGCAAATGCAGCTCCAACTTACATAAAATAGACTTACTGCAGTTTCTCTTGACCCATGTGCAAGGAATTGTACACGCTGATGAGAATCACGCACTTTTTCTCCTATGTTAAAAAAAATGATAAGGCTCTGAAATGGAGTATATTGGTTAGAATTTGGCTTTGGGAGAAGAGATGCTGTCATTTAACCCCTTGGTACGGAAAGTGAGGAAATCCCCAACTATCCATGCCAGGGGGTTAATGAAACAAATCGATGTTGGCATTTGCTCATCTGAGAACTGAAATGTGATGATGACCTGGCAAAGTAATGATGAAAATTGAGACCTGAGTGATGATAAGAAACGATCTTTACTTGGCAAAACGGACACATCTTGAGTGTTTAGGAAGTAGACAGTAAAGGCTAAGAACCTGATGTGGTTATTGTGATCATGGTACATTTATCACTGAATTAAGCCATCAGGGAAGAAAACCACCTCCAGCTTTTATTTTTCTGTGTATACTCATGTCCCCAAATTCCAACATTTCTCACTGAAAGGGGGCATGTATGCAAACCTCATCTTTCTCCATAAATGATGATCTTCAGATTAAACCCTTTGGTGCTAGGAGCTGGCATTTTCCAAAGCAGCCTATGAAGTCCTAGGGGCAGGGGGCCGTTCTAGCGGCAAGCGGAAGGCCGTCCCACTCCGTGGAGTGATCATGGAAATGTATTTTAGTCACACTCTGACAGCTCCCAGTGGAAGACTACAGCATGACGTAGTATTATGATTGCATTGTATGAAAGAGCAAGTGACTTTCTAAGTAGAATGACTCATATTCATATGCAGATGTCTTAGCCTCTTTACGCTGGAAGAGTGGATGTATAGCTGTGAAGCCACTGCTGGCAGTGGGTGGGCCACTGGGACTGACGGGGTTACAGGGCATTTTACTAAGGCAGCTCAGACATATTCAGACATCGATGTTATCCTTAGTTTTCATATTTCTACCTGAGTGAAGTTCATCCTTAGTATTGAGTAGGAAGTTACAGTAAATGGCAGTTCATTCTTACTTACACACACAGCTACACGGCTAATCTTGTTTTTTTTCCACTTAGAATTATGTTGACTGTTTCACTTCGACAAAAAAGTAGACTAGAAGTTTATGTTCTTTAAGTTGTCTTGCATTCATGATATAAGAATGAAACAGGTGAGAGGAAGAGAAGCAAGCTGAGCCTGGCTGACGTTCAGAGCACTTCTCTAGAGGGAAGCATGACACCGTACACCAAGCACATAGCTTTTCGTTCTTTTGGTTTCCCTCACTCCCTGAAGTTGAAGGTGATTTCCATGACCTTGGCCAAGGACACTTGCTAAAGATTAGTGACTGGCACTCACAGTGGCCCGGCAAGCCACGGCTTACAGTGGCTCTCAGTCCTCAGCCACACCTGGGCTCAGCCACTTCTGTTCCACCCTCTGAGACTCCACTGGTGTCACACAAGGTAAGGTTCTCTTCTCGGCTTTGATTTTGAGAATCCCCAATTTTCCCTTCCAGATCGATCTGTCAGCTGCCATGGAGGAATAAGAAAAACAGAATGTGTGTAAAGGGAGATTTCTAAAGCTTCCCTTGTGTTGCCCATAGTTGTAGTTTTGGGTTCTGGCAGGGGGAACACCCTGAAACCTGGGATCATTCTGAGAATACAGTTCAGACTTTGCAGACTCCAGCCCATACTAACTGTCATGAAGCTTGACTTCTTGTCATAGTGCAGCCATCTTGGAGGAAATTGGCCATTTCTGCTTGGATTGTTGGCCGGGTTGCGCTCAGCTTTGCTTTCTACACTAATTACATAGCATTATTCAAGTGCTGGTTTCCATTCCCATACCCAATCTCCAGCTTCTTAAAGCTGACTGTTCTGGCAGGGGCCACTTGCTTCATAGAGTACAAAAGTAAGGGCCTTCCTACTAACTGCAGGGTCTCTATATTACACCTCAGCGTACACACTTTGCTGCTACTGTTTGTACTGTCTACAGTAGAATCTCCTTACCTTGCTCCTGGTAGTGCATTACAGGCAAGCATGAAATGTAAAGTATTTATTTAAATAAAAAGAAAACCTCTAAATTGGTAATTGAATTACCTCCCTGTAGCTTTATAGTTTGTGACATTTCTTGACCTTGCTAGTTCTATCATTAGATCTGCACAAGATCTAGTCATCTGGTTCAGGATTTTAAGCAGATGCAACTATAAACCCAAGAAACTGTATTACTATTACTGTTGGTCATACCAAAACTGTCTATTTCCTTAAGTATATGACCCACAAGGATGTGAAATAACGAAACTGTTTTTGTACACTGTACATCCTTAGTATTTTTACACGTATATGATAGGGATGGACATTATTTTCCTTCGTACAGACAGCTTAAATAAAGCACTATGTCAATCTGCTACTTCTCTGTTTATTGTTGTTGGATGTGGTTCTCTAATCCCCCCAAATTAAATCTTTAATGACATTTAATAGCCCCAGCTGGTACTAACCTACCTTGTATAGAATGTGACAGGAAAATATATCCATTCCTTGTAGCTCAGACACATAGGGGGTCATTTGTGCTTCAACGAAATGGCAGTGGTGCGGTTGTACAGCCTTTGATGGAGGGCTGCTTCCAGGGGTGATGCTGACCTCTCAGCGCTGGATTTAGGACAGATGTCCTGTGAAGCCAGGGATGGAGTAGGTCTCAGAGCCCTAATCATCTGTACCACAAATGGTTTGGAACCAGAATCTTAAGGAATGTAGCTTGTCATTGACGTCTTCCTGATAATGTACTGCTTCTTTCTTAGAGTGTATTTCTAACATGTCACGGCAAAGTAACAAGCGCAGATACATGAGTGATGGAGATGGGTGCAGTGGCTGGACTGCAGTCTGACCTAACACTGAATCATTCTGGATGGGGCCTTTTTCTGATTTTACCTCATAAAGCTTCTATTGTAGAAACTCGGCTTCGCTCCTGTGTCGAAGCCAGACAGAGGAATGGCTTTCGGGTCCAGAGTGAGTCAGGCACGTATGTGCATGTCACAGCCAAATCTGAGGGCATTCTCAGACGTGCTCTTCTCTCAAAACCACCGGGGTTGACAGATCCAGGAGGCTAAAATAAAGTGACCTCTATAATTCTTTAAAGGTGCTATTTTTAGAATATTGTATAATTTATTCACAGTATATCTAAAACAGAATTAAGGACAATTAAAATATCTTATGTGACAGCCTTTATGTCTAGCACATTTGATGAAATAAAAAACTTCTGAATCTGAATAGTTCTGTTTCAGGCTTGAACCTTTTACATGCTCAAGAGATTCGAATGGTCTCTGTGTAGAATCACGCCACCGCCTCCAAAGCCTAATCCACATCGCTTCTGAGAGGCAAGGCTGAGCCTATGGTGACATCATCATCAGCTCTGTGTTGAGATGGTGCTAAGGATGATGGATTGCTGGCCAGGCAGGGCAGCCGAAGGCCAGGGGCCTGTCCCAACTGAAGCCTTGCCTTTAGTGTTTCATTGTCATGGTAAAATGTAACACAGTATGTCCAGTGTCCATTTTTATTACTTTAAAGCATTTGAAGGCTTAACTCTGTATAGTAGAAATACTATTTTAGACTAAAATAAATAATTATCCGTGTACAGATATTTGATATACTCTAAGTAAATTTTCTAATTTCACTAAGTATGTTTTTAGGCTCCTCTCAAATACTGCATATTTGGAGAAAAGTATCTGACACCACTGAGCCAAAGATGCTTTTTTGTCCGTTTTCGTTGTTTAACAGAATGGAGAGAGTGACGCATACTGCTTCCTGGGGTCTCCTGATTGTGCACAAACTAGGGTGGTAAAATGGGGTCTGACGGGACATGTGATTAAAGGTGAAGG